AGATCTGTGCCCCTGAGAAGGAAAGACTGCATAATATGATAAGATCTGATACTGACAACACACCCACGACTTGGCCTTGCCTAAGTTGTACACAGAAGTTAAAGTTATGGGGACTCGACTCTTTCAATTTCTCTGATGAAGTGACTTTGACATGCAACATAATGGGAACAGTGACATACAAACACAGAGCCTACTGTTCAGAGTCGTAAAATGAACTGTACGTGTTCATGAATGTTACATTGTGGGTTATTTTTAGGCAACAAAATAAATGACACTTATGACCTATTTCCAGTGCTCTAAAGGTGTTTGATTCTGCTGCGAGGATGGGGGCTTTAATACGAGCTTCCTTGACTTTGGCAGCCCGTCTCTAGTGGCACATTGCCTTTTTTTGTACCACAAGAAGTTCAAATAAGGTGTTAGGACCATCCCTCCAGAAAGTCCAGCATAATTAATGTTCTGGGACATCAGTGACTTTTACCAATGAGGACACTGATGCTACGTTCCAGTTGTACTCGGAAGTCTGAATTTCCTAGGTCTGAGTCGGAAATTAAACTGAGACGCCCCCCTGAAATTGGATTTCCGACTTAGAAAGTCGGCTGATCCTCACCAACCCCGACTCGATGACTACGTCATAAACCAAGATGGCAGCGCAGTGCTTCAACAGCAAAGAGTAACAGTGAAAGCTCTTGTAATGTATTATTTATTAGCGCTTCTGTTTTGTTTTTGTGAAATTAAATTAGTGGTATATGTTGTACTGTCCAACGCCTAACTGTGAACACGGTGCTATGGTGTTTGTAAGAGTAAAATACTGTGTTATGCATTGTTTACAACTGGTAACAACAACTGACAACAGCTAACGACAGCTGACAATTGTAAACAACAGCTAACAACGGGTAAATCTTGGTTTTCCGACTTGTTAACTGGAACGCCGTCAACTTGGGTGTAACGTCATTCCCAACTCTGACTTCTGAGGTAACTGGAATGCAGCATGAGTGCTATGTACATGCAAATATCACAGCTGTTTACACAATGGCAAAGCAAAAGAAGGACCATAAAGTCTGTAAACACCATCAAGAGTTGTATAGTAGAGGAAAGACTGTCACAGTATTATGGCTCTGTGTGGCAAAATCTGACGCACTGACAGGGAAAAGATTGTGTATAGTGACCTCAGAACTAGTCCTTCCATAAAGTTCCTAACAGAACGAATGATTGACCTGATGGGTGCTGTGAAATGTCCTACTGCTGGTAAGTGGTTCATAAAGCGGCAGGTGCAGTGCAGTTGTGATGTTGAAAAACAGGCCAAAAATTCAATGTTAAGACTCAAAATATTTGTGGGGGTTAAACTAAAAGGTTAATGAGCTGCAAACAGAAAAGGGTGAATTTAATTATTTCTAAGAAAAAATGAAACTGCCAAGCCAATGTTTTACACAATTAACAAATGCTGCCAGTAAAGCTGTGCGCTCTGTAAGTAAATGGTGTTGGAAGCTTAGCACACTGAGTGAATTACATGGTGAAGAATGACTACAAAAAGAGGAGAATTTACTTAAGCATCCAAGGTGTTTTGGGGACACATGCAGCCTCCTCTGAGCCACAATTACCGATATAGCAGCCTTTTCAAAACCTCAGGGAAGAAATTATAGACAGTGAAGGTGTGTGTAAGGATGCTTTGGCCCACAGTAGATGTGTACCTGGGGAAGTGAAGGCAGAGTGAGCTGCAGAGAGGGGGATTTCTTCTGTAAGCCAAGAGAAAACATGATGGTGTTGAACTTGGCCCTTGGGAGGCTCTGGGGTCCAAATCGCTGTACAGCTATAATAATTACACACCAAAACACACACACAGAAACACACTCACACAGCCATGCAAACCATCACTTACTGCTAAGAATAGCTCATGGGGAGAAATGTGCGAGGATGCATTAACATATAATGCTCTGCGTCTACATGCGCGCACATATAGAAAACAAACAATAACACTTGTTTGCCCCAGGCACATTCACCATTCACTGCACTGTGGCCCCAGATCACCACTCATGGCTATAACCCCCCCCCACCCCCCCACATACACACACACTCTCTCTTACACACACACACATTTCCCCAGTCTTAACAGTGACTGATGCTTCACTTCACCACCTGCCATTCTGCCTCTCCCTCGTGTGCCTCAGGGCGACTTTGTGTGTATGTAACAGCTATTTCCCATGTTTTCCCAACCTCGACAGGAGGGAACCCTTGGTCCTTCATGTTCGGACATACTATTGCTGCCACACTGCAGTCATTTTAAAGCTTAGTGTATGTGAAAGAGCAAGCCAATGTGTATGTCCCCAGAGCTGACGTATGAGCGCGTCTCTGCGTATGTACAGTAATTCAAATGCAAATCATACAGCTCTACACTCGCTCTGCAGCAATTTGGAGCCTATATAATGCATCCGGTTTTAGAGAGCGTGGTCCTTGTCCGTTTTTCCTTGTTATCAGAAAGTAATTTTACCTGCCCCTGCTGTTGAAATGGGTTGCACTCAGTGTGCAGGCGTTTCCAGTTTAGACAGGATATGTATCCATGTGGGCAGGCTAAGCACCAGCTATTTAACTGGTATTTTGTAGCACTCATGTTGCAGCAAAGAAAGGAATCCTCACAAATGTTAAGCTGTTTTTTTTTATAAACTAAAGTAGGATGAATTTCTGGGTCTGTTTTTGTAGGTTATTATAAACCTGTTAGTCAAATCTGTCATTGATGCTTGGCATTAAAAGGAACTATAGATGATTTCAGTCTTCAGCTATTGCTATGGCTGCACCAGAATCCATACAGGGTTCCACGACTGAGAATAGCTGAATGAATAAAAAACAAGTTAAAGCCCTTGTTTGGTCATTTTGCTTACCAATGAGCCAGAACTCCAAACAGAGAAAGCATGGCTCAGCAACACTTGATCTCTCTCCTTTATTCCTTAGTATTCAGGGCTGGGTGCCCATTACTAAGATCACACAGTACCCCCTGGTAGGTTCAAATGCAACACACTGCTGTTATTTGGACCATCCTACAAGCAGCATTATGTTATTCTGATTAAATCCAGAGAGTAAACACATGGTATCATTCATATATCATGCCTTCTAATAATTCCTCACATCAGTAATCTGATCACAGATAACTTGTTGAGACATGTTTTTACATGTTAGGTGAGGTTTAGCAGTGAAAATGTCTCCCCTCGGTGAGATAGCCTAAAGCCCAGCAGTACAAAAACACAGCTGAGCTTTAGGCTAACTGCGAACACAGCAATTCACTGTATGTGAATTTCATTAGCTTAGCAGGGATTTTATCATGAACCAAGTATTGAACTCTTAGATTTCTGACTTGCAGTTAGTGATATTGTGGTCAGGGAATCACCACAGTGAATATAATCAATCCTTGAGGTGTTATGCAAGTCTATACCCAGTGTTGCCAACTCCTCGGTAAGAAAAGTCGCCAGAGGAGTTTGCGTAATTGCCAATTTGGACTGACATGTTTCCATATCTTCTAAAAGTCCAGTTTTAGTTGGACAATATACTGACAACATATTGATAGACTACAACTGGACCTAGACAACAATCTGCCTGTTGGTTTGACAATTATTCATCAATCAGACCACAATGTATGTAGGCTGAAGGGATCCTCTTTAGATGTCTTGAAATAATTAATGGTGTGCCCCAGGGCTCGGTCTTTGTACCCTTGTTAGTTACAATTTGATCTGCTCTATCTGTCATGATGTCCCGCACACAAATCAATACCATTATTTGCTGCTGAGCTCCACATTACAACACAATAAGGGTCTCCAGCACTTCATGATTTCTTTTATGGTGTGTTGTACATTATCCAAAATGTTTTGGGCACCTTGATGCCATCATTCTTACGACAATGTGGTACTTCGGAGAGCTGGGGTTCAGTGCAATGGTGAGGTCATTACTCATCACTGCTCTCTGTATGTTATTTGGTTGGCCTGCTATGTCCACTTGTCCATATATGCTTGAAGCTACAGTGTTGTTAACCATTTAGGTGACTTATTTTTGCTCTCAGTCCCCGGACTGTGTCCTGATATGAGAAGAAAGGGTTTGGGTACACTGTTCCCACAGCTTGGGAACCTGCTGCAGACGGATTTGAGTCTGAGGTGTCTGGTCTCAACAGTAAAGTGAAGGAGTTGGAGTAAGATTCAACAAGTTGTGGGCGCTTTGATAAATTTGCCCCATGCACCTAAGATATATGGATCTATAACTTCATTAAAATGTGCTTCTGCCTGTCTCGGCGAGGGAAGTATTTTAATCTAAGTAACCCTTTTCTATTAAACTAAATCATGAATAATTGAAAAGATAAAAATGAAAAATAAACACATAGAAAGCCAAAAAAGTCAACCTGCAGGTTTTCTATTAGAAAAGTTAGGGATCATCAAAGTATGCTGGAAATTCCTAGGGGAGCATGGATGTGAGCAAAGCCTATATATTCATGCATCCGATAACTGCTGAGAGATTTCGGGCTGGACCAAAGCGATAAAACTACAGACCAATAAAACTGCAGAGCCAAGCTGCCAGCATAACTTAAAACAAAGTAAAACTTCCTTTACTCAAATCTTTATTACAACAGACCCAGTTAGACCGAACCATTGCCACAGCAGCAGGGTGGCTGGGATGATTTCAGGGATTAATATCTGTTACACTTTTCTGGATCTAGTTGAACCTTTTTGTGATGAGCTGTGTTGCTGTGGTAAGAAACTGGAGCAGTGAGATTTCAGCGTTAGCATGGCAATCTTCTAATCAAGGCTCATGGCAACAATCATCCTTGATATGTCAAATTGGTTGATAGCTTGTCCCTGGTGTGACGCAAGTATGATTTAGTGCGTTGACACTGCCACTGACAGTCAAATCAGTTGATCTGACATACAGCATAAATCAGCATAAATACACCAACTAAGCTATATCAACAGTTAATTCTCCTATCCAAACATACATTTCTGTTGACAAGGGATTGACAATTGACACTCTGGGTTTCAGTGAGATGTTTCTTCCTTCCCTTCAAATCCTTATGAAAGAAGGTGATCATTCCATCCACGGCCATACAATTGAATTGATTTAGTCTTATCTGATCTGCATTCTATATCCCTGCTACATGTCCGTCACTACATATGGCATTTTTGATTTCAACACAAGACTTTTTGACTTAATAAGAGGTGTATCCTACCATGAAGGCACTTTTACATTTGTCATCATGCCTACTCCCACAAGCAATGTCCGCTCTGTCCAGCAATGACAAGTTAATAGACTGATCTTCAGTGCTGTGCTAAACAGGGACTCACATCTATTATTAATCCTGGTCATTTGATTCCCCCCCTCAATTGCCATAGTCATGTGGTGATTATTGCAATATGTCTCAGTTTGTCAACAACATTATCATTCAGAATTGAATTAGGCTGCTAAGACAGGGTAATCATGATGTGGCAATTATTACCTGATACTGCCATGACAAGCTAATGACTACTGTTTCTGTGTTACCTTTCACAAATCAATATCTATTCATTGTGACGGCTTGAGTACAAACAGCTCCGTGTTTGCACTGGAATTTCTAGAAATTAGTGTATTTGGCTGCAGGGTATTTTTGCTCCTGTGTTTACCACTAACATTTTATCTCAAGAAAATAGCTAATGTAGGATAAGTTTGAAGGAAGTGTCTGGAAAGTTATCGTTAAAATTATGTTTGAATCAGGCCCGAACTGGATCAGGAGAGCCAGGATATCACCCTGATGTCTGAGGTGGTTGTAGGGTGTAGTGATTTGAAATGAGCCTCATACGGTCGCACCAAAATATATGTAGCGATTTGAAATGAGCCTCACAAGGCCGCACCAAAATATACTTGGCGATTGGAATTTATAATAAATGTCTGAAGATTAATAATCTCAAATTATGACATTTATGCACTCGTTGAAAGGGGCACCACCCACCCTTAATGGTGGGAAAATAAAGAAAACAAAAGTTTAATTCAGAAATCAAACATCAAGTCAGTTTTAATTAATCAGTCTTAATTAATCAGTCTTAATTAATCAGTCTCATATCTTAAGTCGAAATTCTAATTTCAGGGACTCCACTTCTGGAAGAACACTAACAGTCAAGAACTTAGAAAAATAATGATCTGTTTATTACAGGATAAATGATGGTACAACACACATGCAATAAATGATGATAAGATAATGAAGATAAAATAATAATAGGTGAATAAATAAAGATTCTGAGTCAGGCTAGGAGCACTAAAGTTAATGATAGTGAGTGAATATGCGCTAACATATTAACCTACACTAACTTTGGTGTCGAGATAAACTCGGATGTGGATTTGGAGGAATCTAAGATCACCAGAAATAGGTGGATATCTGAGTTATGAACGCATGAGACAGCACCAGCCCTCTCTGGAGCTCTGGAGGTTTGCATACTTAAGTGAGACTGGTCCTTGGAGAAGATGGAGCAGGTTCCGAAGGTCCGGGGCTACTGGCGGTTCGAGCGGTTCAGCTCAGAAGACGACTGAAGTCAGCCGAAGGATGAGCCAGGAGTTGCAGCACTCGGGCCCGAAGCAAAGCCAGCGCCTGTGGATCCTGTGGATGCTCGTTTGGGTACTTCTTTGGTCTCACTCAAAAACTCTGGCACAGAGGATGACCTGGGCCTGCTGGGTTGCGTTCAGAGGTGACTTTGAATCACGCAGAAAACTCAGAAAAACGAGGCTCAAAGAGCAGAGAAAACTTTCAAAAATGGCTTCGCGAAATTAAAGAAAAATCAATCAAAGGCTTAATCTTGAATTGCTATGTGCACAAAAAGTTGAAGTTTCAAAACTTGAACTAAGACGATGTTAAAGAAAAATCAACGTGAATCAACACGTGGCGTAAAACTTAGAAGACTAAGAAAAAGTTCTAAGATAAAACAAAGAAACGCACCACAGAAGGGTGTGGACAGAAGAGAAGGGGCATAAGAGCCGGGGACAAGAGAGTCAGCAGAAGAGCAGAAGCAGAAGAGAAAAAAGGAGCATAAGAGAGTGAAGAGCAGAAGAGAGAATAAGCGAGTGAGCAACCCCACTTCACTGGTTTTATCTTCTCACACTGGGTGTGTCTGAGGAGAAAGAGGAGGGGTCATCGGGTCTCTGATTATTTGATCTAACTTATTCTTTTGGCTGGTAAAAGAGTCAGATCTGATACTCACTCACTATGATTAATATCATTGAATGCTTGGTTTCATGATAAATAATTTGATACTAAACACATATGAATGAAGTGTAGGATCACATCAAACATTCTCATTATGTTTTAAGTATCACATTGAACATGCTAAATTACTCTGAAATGAAACAGATAGTAACACATAGAAACTGTGAACAACAAAAGAGTAAACACATGTGAATGAACGTCATCATGATTAATAATGGATTCTAAATACTCACATTCAGATTATTCAGTGACATTATAACCACCTAATGGTTAAGATACTAAATAAATAACTAAAATATAAACCAAACATTTCTAAACTATTTCTGTTACTTAGAGTAAACTTAGGATTCATAGTCAATAAATTTAACTCTTAAAAGTTCATGAAACAGTCTGAAAAGCTGTTGGTCTAAAGAACTAAAGAATAAGGATTTATTCTGTCAGATAAGATAACTTGGCTTCTGAAGCACATAGAAAAACGGGAAACATCTCATTTTAACACAAATTTCATGATTAGACAGATTAGTACATTGCTGAATGCATAAGATGTCATGATCAGTCATTTGTATTCTTTCACCAAAGGAATGCAGTCTTTATCAGTGTATGGTCGAGCAGGGTTTTACGACCGAGGTCTGGAGGTCAGTGTCCCCCCTTATCCTGGGGTCCGTATGTTCACACACTTTAAGACGCTTAATCTCAAATGGGAGATCTGGGTTAAGGTTAATGTTTATTTAGATGGTCAGCAAATGGAGTCAGTTTGAAAGGTAATAAAACTCTGTCTCTGTTCGCCGAACTGACCAATCCTGAAGAGTCAGAGGTTTAGTCAACCTCCGGTTGGGTCACTTATTTAACCTGAAAGGGCAAACACGTCTGGAAAGATTTATATCCTGTTTCCTGGGACCAGATAAGGAAACTTTCCTGTAAGGAATGTGTGGGTTTCACATCCAGGGTTGTCTTGATTGCTACAGTCCCCCCTTCGTCACGGTGGTCCTGTCCATGGAGCATCGGGACGACGAGTAGACAACCATGAAGCAGCAGCAGGTGTATGCAAATAGGACTGATGCGTCTCGTCATCACTATGTGAATCACTAGTACTGCTTTGAGATAAAATTAAGCATGCATTAAGCTATCAAATAAAATAGTCTTGTTGTTAGACTTTTCTCAGTTAACTATTGGTAGACTAATGTGAAAGAAAATCTCCTAATTTTCAGTATTAATGAGATTTAGGAAAGCACTATTTAGTCTGAATGCTAACTGGATCTAAAGCTATAGCTGTTTTTCATGCTTGCTGGAGAAGTCTGAAAGTTCCATTTCAGTTTCAAAAATGGTTAAGACTTAGGTGGAAAAGAAATGTCTGCTATAGACATATTAACCATCTGTGTATGAGCATAGTCAACCTGAATCACAAACATCAAAAGTTTACTGCACAGAGTTTCTCTTAAACTTTGTCTGTTAAACTTGGGGATGATGCTCTTATTGGTTTGACTAATTATCTGCTGTTGAGTCTGAAATTTGTCAATCTGAGTCTTAGTGACAGAAATTTCAGCTTTTAATCTGTTCATGGGATATTTGACAGCTGACAAGCTGACTATATTGACAGAGGAGAGACAAATGCTAACAAAGAAAGCAGCAACTGGTATTGCAGTCATCAATGTATCACCACAGCATTTGGATATCTTATTGGAGTCATTTAGCTTTGGCTGAGTGACTTCTGCTTTCGCAGGACTCACACCTTCATGACTCCGCAGTGTTAATCTCAGTGGTTAGCTGAGTGGTCATGTTTATTCACCTTCAAAGTGGATGAAACCGATTGAGGTGGATAATAAGATCGTCGTTTCTGAGAGTGTGATTTACTCTGATTCTGCCAGTCATTCACCCCACTTTGGCGGTGTTGATGGTTTTTCCTTTGTCTGGGACAAAACCCACCGTGACGGGAGTCTGAATAACAACAGTTGGTCTCAAAGTTTACCTGGCGTTGGTCTGTGTCAGAACTGGGCCTTGGTGTGTAACTTTGACCTTTGTGAGTGTGTTGAGGTCGAAAAGGTTTTGGAGGCCTGGTTAACCACTCATTTGGAGGCTTATCGGAGCCTGAAAATACACAGTCTGAAGCTTCGTTCAGCTCCATGGGCAGTGATTTTGTCCCCATAGCCAAGAGAGTAACGGGCTCTGCTTTCTTAGCCAAAGTTTGTCGTTGTTTGGCAAAACCTTTTACAGCAAGTTCACGAAGCTGTCGGCTAGTCAAAGTGTTTGGACAAGCTAAGACGCCAAGGTGATGACTGGTGGTAGGGTGGAGGTTCTGGACGAACAGCGTTTTGAAGTTCAAGTCCTCCTCCATTTCTGGTTCATTTCGGAAACCAAAGTAAGCTTCGCGTAAGCGGTTGTAATACTGTTGGGGAGATTCTGATCTCCCTTGTTTAATAGACAGAGCAGCAGAGAGGCCTGTCTGGGTCAAATAGTCAGAAAACTCTTCAATTAATGCTTGGCAGAGCAAGTCATAATTATTTCTGACATGATAAGGCTGTCGTTCAAGGAAACTGCTAACCTCTCGACTTGACGTCGCCTTAATAAGGTAGATTTTGTCATCAATGGTTGCACCTGGAAATTTCCTCAGGTAAAAGTCAATGTCTTTCAAGTAGGTGCAGGTGTCAATAGCACCTTGGTGCTCAGGTTCAAAGCGTGCTATGATGCGAGCAATTTTGTCAAGATCCCTGTCTGAGGGAAATGGTAAGAAGCCATCATGAGGAGGAGAGTAGGACTCTTGGTTTAAGGATGACCTCTCAGGGTCAAGCAGGGTCCTGTCATGATGCTGAGAGAGATACTTAAGAGTTGGTTTGGAAGGAAGTGATGGCGCTCTCTCAGGAGGCTGATCACCTATCATTTCTTCAAGAAACGTTTGCTTCATGCGTTCTCTTTGGGCTCGACCTGACTGGAGGGAGCATCGTAACTCTCTTTGGGCATCTTCAAGTTCTTTATCTGTCTTTTCTTGCCGTTCTTGACAAAGAATTAACTGTCTTTGAGCTATCTGGAGCTGGTGCTGTAAGGTAGAAGTTTGCTTCTCCTTAACTTCAAGAGCTTCAGCACGCACTTTGACCAGTGCTTTCAAAGCTTTTACATCTTCTGTTGCTTGCTCTAGTAGGGATTCTGACTGTATCAGATCCTCTGTGGTCTTAGCAAGCTGCTTATTCGTGTCATCAAGTTCTTTCTCCTTTTTGTAAAGGTTTTCATTAAGTCTTTCAATCTTGTCTTTGAGATCAAGATTTTCTTCATGACTTATCAGTGAGGGAAGCTTTGACGCTTCACATCTGGCACTGTGTTTTTCTAAAACACTTAAAGACTTCTTAGTCTCCTCTAGCGTCTTTTTCAGAGCGCTGTTCTCATCTTTTTGCGCCTTTATCTTTGCTAAAGCGCATTCCAGCAAGTAGTCTTTATACTCAAGCTGAGAAGACATCATGACAGACATGCATCTAGTGAGCTCTTTGTCACGAAGTGTCGTGGTTAAGGCTGTTTCCAGTAAGTCAGCCATTTCATCCTCCGGATTGGAGGGTTTGGCCTTATGAATCTTAGTCATGTACTGAGGTATCAGCTGACTAATTAAGTTTGCTAACACTGTGTGTATGTCCCTCAGGGGGTCTCCCTGGCTGGACTCTTTTGTGTTAGGCATGTTTGGTTTTGGTAAAGAGGTGCAGGTGGTTGGTTGATGAGTTTGAGTTGACTTAAAATGAAAGGAAGAAGCAAAGTATCAAATTAAGTGGGTTAATCGACTTAATTTATCAGTGCTTGATAAAGAGGAAGAGCCTATCTGAGTAGATCTCTAATGGAGAGAAAAATAACATAAAGTTAAATTCATTTCAATGAAAATTGAAATAAAACAAGGTGAAATAATGTTAAATTAAATTTAACATCAGATACAGAACCATTGAATAAAGGGTTCAATTTGTCTCCGTGTTGCAGAGATCAGCAAAGCTTAAATAAACTGCCTGATGCAGTTGGATGAATTTGAAAAATCAATGAAATTGTCAATTTAAGGAATTAACTCTGAAATTAATTCACAAATCGCAATAAATCCAAAGATTCAACTACCCAATTCATCTGGAATGGTAAAATAGATTTGAAATATTAATTAATTAGTTCATTAATTAATTAATCTTATGAGGAGGGTTAATACATTCATGTATTATAGGGAACAGTAAAACTGCTCAATGGTGTGATAAGTAACAACAAGATCAGGTGATTGATTCAAGGAGTTACTTTATCAATACATTATGTAGGCTCTTATAACAAAGATAAAAATCAAAATCAATGATCAATGATTTAGAATAAGCACATCAAACTTCATCAACCAAGTCAATCACTTGAATTATGTCTGTAGAGTGTTACACACTGACTACAGGGAGGCAGTACAGCTGGCTGATACTGCAGGCAGATAACATTGTTAGCTCAATACCAAAAGCAACCATGTGGGGCAGTATGGAGTTGGGGTAACTGCACAAGCTCAACACAAGTGGAGAAGAAGAAGAGAAGAGGAAACAGTCATCCAACTAGCCTCTTGTGGCTGTGAGGAGTTGGGAAGTGTGCAGGAAGGGGCCTTTAGGCTCTGCCTCCTTGAAGGGCCTTATCTGCTTAAGGCCAAAGGGTCAGTCTCTCCACTGACAACAAAGGGTTAACATTTCACAGCAGGCTGCGTCTGCACCCTCAAACATAGAACTTTACACCATCTGCTCAGGCAGATTGGTTCAATAAAATCATTTACAGGAACAAGAATCGAAGTGACAAATCCTTAAACAGCAGATTCAACTGCAGACTTTAAAATCACAAATGCGGCGATTTGTGATCACGGATTTTGTCTGAATTCATTCAAACAACAACCTCCCACTGTTACAGTGGTTTCCTGTGACAGGTAGTTAATCTGTCAGGGGAAAGGAGGAAATCTGAATCCCATATAGTTACTAGAACTTCGTAGCCGACTATAGAGACAAGAATCAAAGTGACAAATCCCTCAACAGCAGATTCAACTGCAGACTTTAAAATCACAAATGCGGCGATTTGTGAACACAAATTTTGTCTGAATTCAATCAAACAACAACCTCCCACTGTTACAGTGGTTTCCTGTGACAGGTAGCTAATCTGTCAGGGGAAAGGAGGAAATCTGAATCCCATATAGTTACTAGAACCTCGTAGCAGACTACAGAGACTTCAGGGGCTTGAAACCACAGCTCGGAGCATCGCGAACACTGGGTTCAGCCAAAGGCCTTAAATACAAGCGTACGGCGACGCAACAATCGTGCACTTAAATATTGGACAGTCTAGACAGAGCAGAGGAGTCAGTCTCACTGCTACTCAGAACAACATTTCACGCTGTCCAGCTCAAACACAGACTACAGGCATGTAGTACAAAAGTGTGTGAAACACAGAGCATAAAGGTTTTATGCATAGATCAGGAAAACATCAGAACTTAGTCAAGCAACTTCAGCAAGCATAGCATTGATTGTGATCAAGTCTAAACAGCCTGGAAATAAGTTTCTCTCATCAATTTGGAAGGCTAAGTTTTAGGTTGTCTGTTAGTATCCAGAAGTTTTGTTTGAAACGCCTCACGCAGGGGCACCAAAATATATGTAGTGATTTGAAATGAGCCTCATACGGTCGCACCAAAATATATGTAGCGATTTGAAATGAGCCTCACAAGGCCGCACCAAAATAATACTTGGCGATTGGAATTTATAATAAATGTCTGAAGATTAATAATCTCAAATTATGACATTTATGCACTCGTTGAAAGGGGCACCACCCACCCTTAATGGTGGGAAAATAAAGAAAACAAAAGTTTAATTCAGAAATCAAACATCAAGTCAGTTTTAATTAATCAGTCTTAATTAATCAGTCTTAATTAATCAGTCTCATATCTTAAGTCGAAATTCTAATTTCAGGGACTCCACTTCTGGAAGAACACTAACAGACAGGAACTTAGAAAAATAATGATCTGTTTATTACAGGATAAATGATGGTACAACACACATGCAATAAATGATGATAAGATAATGAAGATAAAATAATAATAGGTGAATAAATAAAGATTCTGAGTCAGGCTAGGAGCACTAAAGTTAATGATAGTGAGTGAATATGCGCTAACATATTAACCTACACTAACTTTGGTGTCGAGATAAACTCGGATGTGGATTTGGAGGAATCTAAGATCACCAGAAATAGGTGGATATCTGAGTTATGAACGCATGAGACAGCACCAGCCCTCTCTGGAGCTCTGGAGGTTTGCATACTTAAGTGAGACTGGTCCTTGGAGAAGATGGAGCAGGTTCCGAAGGTCCGGGGCTACTGGCGGTTCGAGCGGTTCAGCTCAGAAGACGACTGAAGTCAGCCGAAGGATGAGCCAGGAGTTGCAGCACTCGGGCCCGAAGCAAAGCCAGCGCCTGTGGATCCTGTGGATGCTCGTTTGGGTACTTCTTTGGTCTCACTCAAAAACTCTGGCACAGAGGATGACCTGGGCCTGCTGGGTTGCGTTCAGAGGTGACTTTGAATCACGCAGAAAACTCAGAAAAACGAGGCTCAAAGAGCAGAGAAAACTTTCAAAAATGGCTTCGCGAAATTAAAGAAAAATCAATCAAAGGCTTAATCTTGAATTGCTATGTGCACAAAAAGTTGAAGTTTCAAAACTTGAACTAAGACGATGTTAAAGAAAAATCAACGTGAATCAACACGTGGCGTAAAACTTAGAAGACTAAGAAAAAGTTCTAAGAGAAAACAAAGAAACGCACCACAGAAGGGTGTGGACAGAAGAGAAGGGGCATAAGAGCCGGGGACAAGAGAGTCAGCAGAAGAGCAGAAGCATAAGAGAAAAAAAGGAGCATAAGAGAGTGAAGAGCAGAAGAGAGAATAAGCGAGTGAGCAACCCCACTTCACTGGTTTTATCTTCTCACACTGGGTGTGTCTGAGGAGAAAGAGGAGGGGTCATCGGGTCTCTGATTATTTGATCTAACTTATTCTTTTGGCTGGTAAAAGAGTCAGATCTGATACTCACTCACTATGATTAATATCATTGAATGCTTGGTTTCATGATAAATAATTTGATACTAAACACATATGAATGAAGTGTAGGATCACATCAAACATTCTCATTATGTTTTAAGTATCACATTGAACATGCTAAATTACTCTGAAATGAAACAGATAGTAACACATAGAAACTGTGAACAACAAAAGAGTAAACACATGTGAATGAACGTCATCATGATTAATAATGGATTCTAAATACTCACATTCAGATTATTCAGTGACATTATAACCACCTAATGGTTAAGATACTAAATAAATAACTAAAATATAAACCAAACATTTCTAAACTATTTCTGTTACTTAGAGTAAACTTAGGATTCATAGTCAATAAATTTAACTCTTAAAAGTTCATGAAACAGTCTGAAAAGCTGTTGGTCTAAAGAACTAAAGAATAAGGATTTATTCTGTCAGATAAGATAACTTGGCTTCTGAAGCACATAGAAAAACGGGAAACATCTCATTTTAACACAAATTTCATGATTAGACAGATTAGTACATTGCTGAATGCATAAGATGTCATGATCAGTCATTTGTATTCTTTCACCAAAGGAATGCAGTCTTTATCAGTGTATGGTCGAGCAGGGTTTTACGACCGAGGTCTGGAGGTCAGTGTCCCCCCTTATCCTGGGGTCCGTATGTTCACACACTTTAAGACGCTTAATCTCAAATGGGAGATCTGGGTTAAGGTTAATGTTTATTTAGATGGTCAGCAAATGGAGTCAGTTTGAAAGGTAATAAAACTCTGTCTCTGTTCGCCGAACTGACCAATCCTGAAGAGTCAGAGGTTTAGTCAACCTCCGGTTGGGTCACTTATTTAACCTGAAAGGGCAAACACGTCTGGAAAGATTTATATCCTGTTTCCTGGGACCAGATAAGGAAACTTTCCTGTAAGGAATGTGTGGGTTTCACATCCAGGGTTGTCTTGATTGCTACAAGGGCCATAGAAGTTCGTGTCTGCAGGGTCAGGGTCATGGTGTTCACGTACAAGAGTTGGTTCTAGGAGAGGAGTCATTTTTGATCAACGCATCAGGAGTCAGCAGCATGGCCTGTTGGCTACAGTCTAACAAGCACAGGCTTCTGGAGTTGATACGATTGGTTAACAGAAAGGGCAAGGATGGTGCCGAATCACTTAAAGGGGAACTTCACTATTTTTCAGCCTGGGCCCTATTTTGCCACGTTTTGTGTGTGTTTGACTGATGAGGAGGACAATTTCAGAAATTGGTCCAGCAGCTGGAAACTACGAATTGAGCTAAGCTGTAGTTTGACCTGGCAATTGTCGCATCGTCAAACTGCGTCCACTACAGGTGTGATTATCAGTAACATATGCAGTGATCAATAAGGTTACAGAGAAAAGTGCTTTATTTGGACTTGTATGCCAACAGGGCTGCCAACATATATTGTCACTAAAGTTTGTGAACTGCAGTAGGCTGGTCTGAGCTATGAAACCTCCTGGCTGACAATCAGTCTCACTCTGACTCTGACGTGCATCAATCTGAACTGAAAAAAAAAAAAGTGTTGCACTTTTTCAGTCCTCTACCAGCTACACTCACATGTAGCATAACCTTTACACCTTTGATTACATTCAGTCTGTCTTTCCCTTGCAGCAAGCCTGCTGTCATGTGGCCCAGCTTGGTAATCATTTACTGAGACTGAGGGAGCGGCTCAAGAATGACAGGCTAACATTCGTCTTCTCAGGCGCCATCTTGTTCTGTGTGTCACCTCCCAACCGCAGCCTCTGCTGCCTCTCATTACATGAACCCAAGATCACAGTCAAATGGAGATATTAGAGTGGGAGGACTGTTTTGCTTCAATGATAATTAACCTTGTCAACAAGGAAGATGAGGGAGTCTGGTATAGGGAAGTTTGTGCCTGTGAAGTTCTCTTCATTTTGCAGTAGTGAAGAGCAAACAAGACGTTTCTTTTTCAAGTATGACATTGTACCAACTAGTAAATCCAGTCAGTTTGTGCATATTATTTGGTTTAGTTTCAGTTCAGAGCAAATGTGTAGCTTCATTTGAATGTTTTGGGAGACACCATGAATTCATTTTTAATTCATTTGACACAATTATATACTATATACTTATTTCCTAAGCTTACTTTTCTTTGCTCCATGCTGGTATTGCTTTAATTAAACTAACCACAATTCAATAGTTATGTCACACGCTCAAGAAATTGACAGAGTGTATTAGAAATACACTGCAGCCCTCAGTCTCAGATAGCAGAGACAGACAGAGGGACAGAGCGTCTTAAATGTGGCTGAGGATAATTCATGGGTAGTTCACTTGAAGGGCCATGTCCCCACTGTCCCTGTCCAATTCTACACCCTTGAGCTGCGCCATTTAATATCAATTTAGTACTCCAGTCTGCTTTAGTTTCAAAGGTATCAAGTGAAATTTCGTCTTTAACCTTGTGTTCTTACTGCTGGACACAAACGAGCGAGAAAAGTGGGGAAACAATCTCCACGAAATCTGACCTTGGTGGTTCCTCAGCAGGGCTTGGATAACCCCTTTTTCATTCCTTGGACTTTTGATATTCAACACAAACTTTTTCGCTAGTTGTCAACCTTGAAAATACTGTTGTATTGAGCTGTGTTTAATGAACAGACAGTGGCTCTGTAGAGACTTCCTGAAGATAGCAAAAGAAAGAGAGGTCCTTACTTTGTTGTATTTTATTTTTGAAATCTACAATAAAACTCTATTGTATCAAATATGGGGGATTTTGGATATTTCAGTGAAGTTACTTTGGCAAGCTACTGCTTCTTTTTTTTTTGCTAATCTAACTCATAAATAAAAGTTATATGACCTGTATGTTTATTAATACTGAAACTAGGAAATTTATTTTGATTATTATTATTATATTATTTTTTTTATCAGATACCCGTGCACATGCACACACGCATAAACATTACGAACATACACAGTTTTCTAAATTCCCTAAGGCCCCACATCATGCATTCATATAAGTTAACTTTCCTTTAACTCGCTGTACAGTTTTGAGTGGTTGTCATGTAGATGGGTCATCATGTTGGGAGTGTTTCTACCCTTCACAGAATTTTTTTTGGCATTTTCGGCAAACTGGTTGGCCATCCTCAATCAGTGTCTCTTCTGAGTCTTTGTAAAAGCGATAACACACAAGTGCTGAAGGAAACTCAGATGCCTATGCTCAGTTTTCCCCTTACAGGTACTTCAGCTTTATTTGACATCAAGCAATAAGTGCTTTCAGCCAAGCATCACAGCACATGGTCGCTGGAGAGTGCTCCTCTCTTGGGTGAAGAGTGAAAAACAGCTAGTAATACCAGACACAGAGAGAGAGAGGGGGATTGACGTGAAGTGAGTCATGATTTGTAACAAACATACACTCCACAGGTGGACAGCATGTGCCTCTTCATGCTCTGCATCAATGGCTCTTTTACCTGCACAGTATATGTCCCAGCAGGGTAGCCTAGCATCTGTACGATATCCCAGCAGCAGCAGCAGAGTACATTTATCTGTGCGCTGTATCTGCTTTCTACTGACAAGTAAATCATCTCTTCGCCTGCTGTGACAGCACAATCCTGATGTCTGTCACTTCTACCGACCGAGCAACGGCCACACACACGCACAATGAACACACACAGGAAGGGACAGGCAATCTCATTACACACACGTCCCAGCATCCACAAACTGGCACACGCACACACACACACAAACACTTTTTGTCAGAGGGGATCCTCGCCCACTCAAGGGCAGAGCGGTGACACCTCATCATGAGCCAAATGAAGCAAGAGTGGCAAGGAGAGGAGGAGGGAGAGGAAAAGAGGAGAGATGGAGGGATGGATGGAGCGGAACGGCAGAGCAATATGGAGAGGGATGAGTGGCGCTATATGCCAGAGAGACGACCGGCGCCAGGCGGCAGATTTCAGGGGCATGAAATAGGCTCTGGGAATCGTGGAGAGGGCAGCTGGAGAGGGGAGAGGGAGAGAGTGGAAAATTGAGAGATTGTTTTTGCATATTTGAAAACTTTCTTTGAATACCTGCAACAATCAAATCTGTGAAATAATCGAATCATTTCAGCAGCAGCAGCAGATTTTGTGGTTTTGTCATGCTCGATTGATTAATATGTGGTTTATTTTTAACAAACTGTGCTTCACTTTATTTCTTGTCTTTTGAAATTATTCTTAATGTTCGAGTGTCTAAATTTAAAAAAACTGACTTTAAGAGGAATTGGAAAACAATGAGCTCTCATTAAGATGCTGTCGACAGCTCGCTTCTCCTTCAATTACAAGGAGAGCATTCACACCTGACAAGGAAATGTGCCTCATTCATGCATATAAAAATTGGATTTCTTCTTCTTCTTCTTTCTGTAAAACACAGATGCCACTTTAAGTCCAATTTCCCCATTCTGTAATAGTTACTTTAAATACATCACACCCTGCTTGAGCACACGCTGAGATTGATGCCTGTCTGAGATTTTGATGATTGAAGTAAGACTGATGTTCACTTCCACTTCTTCTTTTGCAGTTGTAATTTTGATGTTTCTGAATGCAAATGTGATCTTTATTCAAATTCAAATCCATTTTAAAGCATTTCTATTTGCATTCACGACAAACATGTTTGAATAAAAAAAAGGGAGACACAGTTGGAGGTAATATTAAAAAAAAGGAGAAAAAGAACAGCAGAAAGAGTAAAAAACGGAGTACGACTGACCTAAGACAGAATGGGTAAGGTCTTGTCGCTACCTGTCCCTATAACTCTGAAGCGAGAGAGTGAAGGATAGAGAGAGAGATGGAGTGATGGAGAGGAGGACAGAGGTGCTGTGTCTCGCCTCAGAGAGCCACAGATGGAGAGTGATGATAATGCAGCAGGAGACAGAGGACAGAGGGAGAGGAGAGAGGGGTGAAAAGGGGGAAGAGAAGGAGGTAATCGTGATGTGTAAAAAGTAAGATCATGCAGATAGGAAGACAGAGCTGAGTTTGGAAGTAAGACAATAAAAGTCTGAAGTTGCTCAGCCAGACTTTATATTATCACTTGTAAAACTGCCCCTAAATGAGACATCTGGATATAATTCAGGCAGAATTCTTGTAGGGGAAAACTAGCAAATTCAATCCTGATTTCACAGGATGGAAAATTAAAGCAATAACGTGTCTTGTACTTTGTTTCATATCAGATTTTTCACTCTTATAAAAACACAATCAGCTTCCACATTTGCCATTTGACTGAGCATCAGTCTGATTAGCTTTACATTAGCAGATGGCATTTATCAGCATCTCTCTTCATTTTTTTTTCACAGCAATCAGACTCTTTTTTTTTTTTTTGCTTGTTCTTGTTACGCAGGAATGAGCTGTAACAAATATTGCAGGTGTGGGGCTGGGGGATGGGAGATGAAGGTCTGGATTACAGCCTGATTGGAAATGGGCAGAGCCACGTTTTATTGCTTTACTGAAGGAGGCAACAGAAATAATGAGCACAGCCACACTTTGCTCGCTGAGGATGAGGGGAAGAAGTGATGACTGATGGGGACAGATCGTGCCACAGTTCTTCAGTTAAAGGCTGAAGGGCTACAGAGTGAGGCTTCTACCCACAAGGCAGGGCTCTCACAAATGAGAACACAGAGTGCCTGGTGCACACACACTCCTGGCTGAGATGTAACCACCCACAGAGATGGTCAGGCATCACATCTCTGCAGTTTGTTTCATGCTGAGCTGCTGTGTTTACGCCATGTGATACATTTCTTCCTCTTTTGGGTCAAAGTGACTAGATAGATAATTTACCCATGAATGTGATGTAAATGGTCCCACGTTAAATATGGTGGAATAGCAGAATAAGATTGAACAAAAAGGTAATATTCTAGTAAAGTACATTGACTCCTGGTTTGCTTGGCTGACATACAAATGAAGGACCAAAATGAGACACCTAACCAGCTTTTCCCCTCTAACAAAGGTCTCACCAAGCAGGTCTCTGCAGCCTTTGACTGGCTCCCTATGGCTGCATTTGGGTAGAATGAAACCAACTTTGGACCCAGCTGAAAACTATGTTTACTGGTGAAGTAGTAAGCTAATTTCATGTGGGCCCAACTCCAACCAAATGAAAAACCCACTCAGAGCTAAAGACCTATTGAGGACTATTAGGTGAAGAGTGTGTAAACTGGAAGGCTGTGTCGGCTTGTAACTTATTTCAGTGAGATTTTATATGAACCCACCTCCTATAATGCATTATTAGCCATATATAAAGCCTCTTAAGCGCATTTAAGCTGTATTACAATCCGTATGAGCGAATATAATCATTCATGACAACCTATAGCAATGTTCATAAAGTTTTAAAAGCAGTGAGCATAATTCCTTATAAAGGTATGATTATACCCAAATGCAAGAGGGAAAATTTATTCATGTATCTTTGTATACAGCCATAAAATTGTTATAAAAATATATGACTTATTACCTCATACAGTGCTGTCACTTTACTTAAAGTGCCCAAAGTCCTGCTTAAGTATGTTGTGAGTAATTAATAAGACATTTTCTGAACTAAGAATTATGATTATAACTTTTATGACACATGAAAAGAGATTTATGTGTTATTAAATCTAGAGTTCAAAAGAGTTTTTTTCTTATGTGTTAGGGTATAATGCATTAACCGTATCTTTTTAAGGCTTTATGAACATTGCTATATGCTGTTATGAATGCTTATAATCGCTTTTATAAGCTTTTTTATTGTTTTCAAGCCCTATAGATGCAAGAAACTGGGCAGTCAGAACAGCTGCAACAACATCATCATTGTATATGATAAGGATTTGTAGTAAGCTGTGTATTGTTAAAACCTTTATTTATTCTCAAGAGATATTGAGGTTACCCTCATTTTCAATGTCATCGAGTTTACAAGCCATTAAAATACTGACAGTGCTTACAGTCATTTGGAAGTGATTACATGACAGTATACATTTACCAGGAAACAGAAAGACAGCCATCCAAAACAGTTATAATTGGAAACACCACTATTCATGACCAAGGTCCTAAACTCTGTGAGTGACGGGAGCCTGTCCAATCTCAGGATGTGCTGTGACGCTTTCCAAGAGCTAGAGGCATCATAACAAAAAGCAGTCTCGCCAATATTTGTATAGACTCGAGGAACTTTGAGTAGCAGTAATTCAGCTGAAGGAGTCATGTAAGTGCCTGAGTTCCATTCTGGCATATTTGCTAAATATTGTGGTAGTTTGCCTAAAAGGATCTTAAAAGAAATGAAAGAAAGAAATGTAAGGATATAATTTTTGTCAGAGGCATTACTTTAACTTGTTCAAAAAAATTCAGCACAGAGATGAGAAGTTCAGCTTGTCAGAGGGCACTACAATATATGCAACCTCACAGGAATAGAATAGACTTATACTACAATTGGCACAGGTAACAGACAGTCCAGGTACATTGGAATTTTTGTGCCGCACCTATAATAATAATAATAATTCTAGTAATAATAATAATAATAATAATAATAATAATAATAATAATAGCAGCCTCCAGGGCAAAGTAAGCATTGTGTCATGACTAAATAATTCGTTTCGTGCCAAAAAATATCAAAATTATGTGCTCTGCAATATTTCTTTTTAAATGAACATTTATCCACTGAGACGATGATGTTCTGGACTGCACTTCAACAGACCACTAAGCCTTTTAATCGGGGGGACTCTGCCCTGTAGAAAAGCAGCTTCCTTGACAGCTGTGGGGATGCATCACTGCTCCCATTGTACTTTTGCACAGTGTAAGAGTGTCTGATGTGTTTTTGGAGTTGGAGGATTTTTTTTTTTCTTTCCAGCAGCACCAGTTTCAGAGTAAGGTTTGATCCGCGTGTTGCCCCTCCAGCTTATTACTTCTGCACATGTTCGCTCTGAAACAGCTCTGCGCATTGTTTGTGGCACAAAAGGGGAGATGGCCAGGTGTTCATTCTTGGAATTGAAACCAGTGCCTCATAGTAGAATAACTTATTCCCTTTCTTTCTGACATGAAAGAGTTTTATTTTGAAATTGTGTTGTTGATTTCCCATGTAGAAATCTCTTGATCTTGCCCTTATACCTGCTTTTGATGCTGCACTTGTATTTGTCTTTGTTGTGTGTGTGAGAGAGTTCGGAGCGGTGTGTGTTGGTGGATTTGAGGGGCATATGCCTGCATCTGTATGGTTTGATGTTGGTTGTTTGTTGGTGTTTGAGCTTTTCCCATCCCTCCTACACATTCCATCCTTCCTCTGCACGCTGCAAACAAATTTGAACTTGTAAAGACCTCAGGCATTCTCAAATCAAATCTCCAACATCATCTTTGAGCCTGCAGCAAGGCAGCCTACCTCTGTGTCCCAAAGTCACCCTGACGTCTTTACAGAGACAGCTTCTTAACAAGGTGAGTTTTTTCCTCTCTGAAAGGCAGATGAAAGCCACTTGGAATAACAAGCCAACTATCAGCAGCCAAACAATACTTCCTGTTGCAAGTTGAGTTTGAGGAAAAAGGGATTGCGCTGACAAACTGAAGTGAAGGTGCTCATAAGAAGCACAATCTGAATGAAAACAATCGCACATTTGCATGTTTTCTGAGGGATCCTATCCTCAATAAAGAATCAGGTCAGTCAGTCAAAGTGTGAACGAAATCAAGCCAAGCTCTCGCTCCAATAAGGGTGTGCTTTCTCTTACATATCCTCTTATTGCACATGTGTTTGAGCCTGTGTTCTTCATAGGCTAAGTTGAATAAGCACCACCATGTGTCTTCCTCCATACCCACCATGACCTCCCCCCATTATCTTCCTCTTTCATTACTCTCATTGCTGCTTTCAAACCTTTTCTCTTTATCAGAAGCAAACAGAGTGAAGTTTAAAGAAAAAAGGAGGGTGAAATGGCTTTGATGTGTAATAGATGCTCTGCTATTCCCTTTGAGTAAGGGTGCTTTTTTCATTCTTCCTTTCTTTCTTTCTATCCTTTTCCCCTCTTGCATACATTTTTTTTGTCTGTATTGATTTTTCTTCAGACATGAAAAAGGTGCAGAGAGCATCAGTGCTGGATGGGTTTGATGTTTGTGTGCCTCTAAGTGTGTGTGTTTGACTTTCATTTTGCATCTGCGTGCTGGTGTGTTTGCGTCCAGATGCTTAAGCCAGAACCTTTCAAGGACATTATGTAAACAACCTTTGTTATTTAACCATGTAGACAATGTCTTTACTGTCCTCCTTCCATTTGAAAGTGATGCTGCAAGAAAGAAGGAGCTTCTTTGAAAAAGCCTAAAGAGGTTTCTCTGTTGTTGTTGTTGTTGTTTTTTTTTTTTTTTTTTTACCTTCTCAGGGGCATTTGTCTCTTTGGTATGCTTTACTTGTCTCGTAGAGGCTCAGACTAGATGTGTCTGGGACAATGGAGGAGGGGGGCTGTCTCTCAAAACAAAATAAAAACAGGGTGCTGCAGCTCTTTGCGGTACATATTGGTTGACAAGGAGCTTTTGATCTGGCTGTGTCACCTTATCTGTTTTTTTTGTTTTTTGTTTTTTTTTTCTTTATTTTTGTTTTTTACAGCAGAATGCACAAATGGACAAATCATCCTCAGTATAAAGAGGAGTTCGAGAATGCTAAAGAATTAAATCTACAGTAAAGTGCCTATAGCTGCAGTTCCTGGACCAGCCAGTGGAGGCTCAGAGCCTCTTAGGACCAGACTTAAAGGTGGGGGAGGCAGGATCTGAGGAAGTGCCAGTTTTTGGGAGAAATCTTGAATGTAAACTCTACCCCTCCCAACCAGTTTTCCCCTCAGCTCCCCCTCTCCCCTCCCTCTCTGCTCCAGCAAGCCCCGCCCACAAACAGATGCTTGTCCTTGTTCGTATTATTTCAATTAAATTTAGATATAATGCAGATAAATAATTCAGATAATTACAAATGGGGTTCAGTCAACGTGAAAGTAAAAAGCATTGGTGCTGCTGCTGATGCCAACAGACTACCAGCAAACACAATGTTTGCAGGACTTCTACAACTAGGATAAAGTGACATACTCCAGGACCCGAGGTTAACAGTTTAACAGCGCTACAACATGCAACAGGTCCAGTTTGACAACAAACACTTCTGTTACAGACACTTGTCTTACTTTGTTAAAACGGTTTACCTGTCCAGCAGAAAGGTTACAGGGTCTGTAAGATCCCAAAGCGTCCCCCATTTTTTATGCTTCATTGCTGTTGACCCAGATTCTTAGCTCTTGTCCGGTCTACCTCCGTTTTAAGCGCCTGTTATTCCACCAGAGTCTCCGGTATTTACTTTGTTTTCTTGCTTGTGTTGGCAGTCGTGGCCAAAGGAGGATTCAGACAATTTTCTGTACTTTCTGGTTGGTTTCTACCGTCCGATATTGTAGCACAATAACTTTGTTTGGGCTCGTGCCTCACAACATGAGAGAGCAGCGTCTGCCTCACAACCAATCAGGTTGAGGGAGGCAAAGAATAGCTTTGTTTACAGTCAGAAAGAGCGGGCCGCTCAAAAATGTTAAAATGTTGACTACACAGACATAACAAAACACAGCAATATCGTTATATTACCAAATGTCATCAACAACTAATAGCTATTGACTGATATTAAAAGCTTTTTTGTATAAACACCACAAAAAAAAAAGATGCTTCTTTCACGGAATCGTGCCTACCCCACCTTTAAGTCCCATTAGGACCTATATGAGGATCAGCAGATCAGAAATAAAAAGTTTAAATCCTTTTACAGAAGAAACAGTTTTGGAATCACAGTTTTTATACTGGAGCTAAGATTTTGTAAAAAACTCACCTATATGCATTATAAATATTGGGCATGCTGCTTTGAAGACAAAATGTTTGATTAACTAAGTAAAGGTCGTTGTCAGGCATAATGTACAGCACAGATTGATTTGAGGTGACATAAGTGATTAGGTTGTCTCCTTTTCTGGTGGTCATTTATCAGCATTGTCCAGGGGTTTGGAACAGTGAGAATCAATAATAGCACATATAATAATAACTAGCACATAAAAAGGATTCAATATTGTATTTTGCTCAGTAAAGTATGGCAACAAAGAAAATAATATACATGACAAAGGATATTGTTAGATTTAAAAACAGAATCTCATGTACAAAAACATCGTTTCACCAACACAGTACATGCACCGGCTTGGTTTCCAAAGTATCAACTAATACAGCAAGAACTCATGCAGCAAGAGCTTGTTTAATGTTAGGCAGTATATGTTATATGTATGCAGTATAATGTTACATAATATTTATATTAATGTAAAAAAAGTGGGATCAAGAAGAGGAGAGGAAGCGAAGATGAAGACAGAACAGCAGGTACAGGTGAGACAGAGAAAGCTGTGCATGCACCATGGGAACGCTCCCTGCAAACTGTGTCATGCTTTACATTCCTGTGGGATATATAAATGTGCCAATGTAAGTATATATATATGAATGTGTGTGTGTGTGTGTGTGTGTGTGTGTGTGCGCGTGCGTGCAAGTGGAGGTGGTTAGGCAGTCAGAAACAGTGTCATCCTGTTGCTATGAGACAGTTGGTCTCACCAGAGGGGGCGAGAGAGAGAAAGTGAGAGAGAGAGCGAATATCAGGGAATGAGGGAGGGAGTTTAGTAATGGCCACTTTTTGAGAGGACGGACATGATTTCTTCGTAAGCCACTTTTTGCATTGTAAAATCAGAATTTCTGAGGCATTATGTTCACATCAAAAGAGGAAAAAAAGAGCAGGAACACTCTAGCTGCAGACTAACACCTGATGGTCTACTCTGGTAGACCTGTGACACTGATATGTCCCTTTTTTTTCTTTTTACACTCACTTTTCATTACATTATCTGTGATATGGCACTGTACATACCTCACAACCCTGACCCCAGCACTATTATCCTTTACAACTTTAAGTGCGGAAATTACATGATGCAGGCAGTGGCTATTCTGCTGTTAGCGAACAATTTTTCAGAAGGGCAGGATTATAAGAAAAGGAGGTGAGTTCGCTCAGAAAATTAAGAAAAAAACAGAAAATTGGATATAAAAGAATTAAATCTGATGACATTAAGTGGCAGGGGGGATGAAATGGTACAAAGCCAAAGGGTTAGGATGGAGAGAGCAGAGAATTGGCTGCATTAATATGTTGCTACTAATGAAATAAAACCCTTAAAAATTGGCTCCATTTGGTCACTGATTTAGTGTCGTTCCCAAGGACACTTACAGAGCTGGACAAAGGAACCTTCACAATGATCAGCTCGACTGACGTAGTTGACCAGCCTGTGTTGAGGCTCTGCTGGTGAATTGACCAGAAGCTATAGTGAATGTTCTGAATATCCACATTATTTACACTAAAGTAGAGCAAAGTTGTCAAGCAGAAAGTTCATGAATGTCTGAGTAAGTAAGATTTCAGTCTGCAGGCTGCTTTCAACTCCAGGCTTCACACAGTTTACAAAAGTCTTTGACTCAAACTACACTGAGCGCACCAACCTGACTGACAATTGTCTTCTAACAAGTGATCATGTGAACATTGAGCAGAATGATGAGCGTTGCCACAAGCTCTTCATTCCACCTTCACCAACCCATCAAAATGCCTGCATAAGGTGTGAATGACACACAAATACAAGTTGCAAAAGCTGGAAACTCAGTGAATTGTATGCAGGACATAAGAAAGTGTTACTGAGAAAATGAACCCACACCCACAGAAAAAAACAAAAAGCAATCAACAAAGAAATTGGAATTGTCCCGACTCTCTCAGAACTTGACAGCACTGGCAGTTCAGGGCTGACAGCCTGATTTGCATAAAGCCTGAGAGCAATCGTCACCTGCAGAGAGAGGGGCAGCACTGCGTTTCTGTCCTAAACACGCTCTAGATGAGGGGAGAGCTCTTTTCAAACAGGGCTGTCTCACCAAAATGAAACCTTTGAACGAGTTCAGTCTGAGAAGTGTCCGATCATGAATTCCCCTTTCTCATTTTAATGCCTTTCCGTTACTTATCCTGTAAACAAGACACAGTCTCACTGTGCTCTTTTCTTCTTTGTTTAAAGTGTTTCAAACATTACTCTTCTCCATTTGTATAACTTTATATACAGTTGCTAGTCTGAGTTTACAAATCTCAGATCTTTCCTTGATGTGAAAGTAAGACTCAGGTGGAAGGTGCAAGTGGAACTGACGAATATGGTGCAACTTTGAGCCACTTGTGACTTTCAGGTCTAATGTCAAGTCACACTACACAATCTTTTTTTCCGTTATGATGGTTACCGTAACAGATTAGACATGTCAGATGAAATGGTACAATCTCATTGGTCAAACACAATGTACTCTGTCAGGAGGTCAGGAGGCGGCTAGGTTATGGCCTTGATTGATGTTCAGTGTGACATATGAGACAGCATAAAAAAAAAAAAAGCCAAACCATACAGCCACCAGAATGGGCTGAGTTTGTCTTAAATCAAGCAGTCTGACATCAGCACAAATCCGATTTAAGGTAATACTAA